ACTCTCTTTGTCCATCTGTTGTCCTGTCTCCGACATATATGACCTGCCCATTGCCATTTTTTTTCGTTTTGATGCTCCCAAGTATATCTTCCACTTTTGTCTGTTCCCTGAATCACGTGGCCCTCATCCAATCACTAAGGCTAATTCCCAGCATCAGCCTCTTCATCCCTCACTGGGCACTTGTTAGTTTCCTCTCCAGTAATTTGGTTGTAGTCCATGTTTCTAACCCATAGGTCATAACTGGGAGGACACATTGGTTAAAGACTTTTCTCTCTTAGTTTGCTACTGTGTCTGCCGAAGGCGCTCCATCCTAGACTGATTTGTCACTTAATATCCTTTTCGTTTGTCAGATATATATATATATATATATATATATATATATATATATATATATATATATATATACATTTATATATATACATATGTATACATAAATATGTGTGTGTAGAGTAGTAGCGGTAGAATTTCCAGTAGGGAAGTGGAGAAAAGTAATGAACCTCAGGGCCAATAATATTAACTAAATCATTGTTACTTCATTCGTCTTTATTCTTCAAAACACAAACGTTTCAAGTGTACTACACCCATCATCAGTGTGGAAATAACCACAGATAATGATTTAAATAATTATCCTTCAGATAAATATATACACATACATAAATAATTACAGATAAAGTTATGCATTTAAGATATTTCTTTGTGCAATTAAGGTTACTGATATCATGATTTAAATAAGGAAACTATGTATAAGTTGAGAGTTACAAAATCGCTTAATTTATGAGAAATTAATAATGTAACTATCAAGAAACACTATAGAAATAAATATAATTTAATTGTAAAGTAAAAAAGATCATAACCAAAAACAATGAAAAACAAACAAACTAACAAAAATTAAAGGAAAACAGTGATTAATGTTAACTTTTTCAGTGATTGTATACCAGTAATCATGTCTACTATTTCTGTGACTGCATTCAAGTAATCATATCTACTTTTTTTCTGTAATTGCATTCGAATAATCATGTCTACACTTTCCTGTTATCTGCTACTTATATTATCTCCCTTTTTATCTCGTTATCCCACAGGTATTCCAGTATTCATGACAGCCTCGTGGGCCGTCGTGATGTCCCTCTGGATGAACGTAGACTGCTGGCTCGGTTACTCTCTCACACCTTATTATTGGATTCTGGAAGGACCACGTTTTACTGTCATTGGGGTGAGTGTCTCTAAGGAGTAGGCTGGTGTTAAGAATATGGGGGTGTGTTTGTGTGCGTGTCGTGTTTGTTTGTGTGTGTGTGTTTGTGTGTGTGTTTGTGTGTGTGTGTGTGTGTGTGTGTGTGTGTGTGTGTGTGTGTGTGTGTGTGTGTATGCTTGTGTGTGTGTGTGTGTGTGTTTGCTTATTTGTGTATATGAGTGTGGTGTTGTGTTAGTTTGTGTATGTGTGAGTGTTAGAACCAGAACAAAGAAATAGATACAACCTTTCCATTTCATATAATCTCTGTCTTTTTTTTTCAACACTGGTTTTCATTTCATATTTTCACAGATCATGCTAATGCTCGCTTCTCTTCTTCACAAACTTTCTCAGGCAAATCTCCTGTTTCTCCTCAACATCATGAGGATTCTGATAAGCAAATTACGTGAAGCAAGTTCCAGTGAGGTGCAACAAATAAGGTTAGTTTTTTTCATGCAGCCAGAAGCAATATTGCCTTGCATGATGAGAGAAAAAAAGAGGGGGAAAAAAGTGTATGCGTCATAAACTTGATCGTTACAAAGGGCTTTTTTCTCTTCCAAGAATAACATGAAAGATAGTAGGAGGGAAAATAAATCGAACTGCATTGCATATGAGGGTGAAAATCAAACAGAGGGCGCAAGAGAAATTGAAGGCGTTTAAAAAACATGTTATTTTGTTTTTTTTGCTTATTTTGTTTGTTTTTTTGTTTTCGGCTCGGCGTTATGAAACAGCCGGAGATTGTTCGAAACAGATTCGCGAAATAATACTGTACATCAGCGGAGGAAGATAGGAAAATAAAACGCAACAAATAACATTCAGGAAAATACCTCATGGTATATGATCCCTCATAATACATGCGGCAGTACGACATGGAATACAACAAATCGCAATGAAATCTAACAGTTGTAGCAAGACATGAACGTCGGGCTTCGAACCAATACCCACCCCCCTGCCCTCCCCTCCCTTCTATACCCCCTTTCCCCCATGGTAAGCTAACGTTTTATGCCTGGTATTATCATTATAGATGTTATGAATATTAAATTGTTATTTAAATCTTGGTAACATATAAGACAATAAAACGATACTAAAGACCCTTTCCAAAAGTTAAACAAAAGGGTTAACAAGTGAGATAGGTAGGACTAATAACTGATTCCTTGGTGACTAAACACTTGCAGAGTCATCTATGTGTAAATACAATACATAAACTTATATTACAGTGGGCTTCGCATGTAGCCTTGCCATCCGTTCCGATTGGGTTAAATGGATGAAATTTGC